ACGCACACTCTTTGTTCCTTCTGGTCGGCCATCTCACTAATCGCCAAAGGGTTGAAACAGGAACGCACACAACAGAGCACCACAGACAAACCACTTAACTCAGACTGATGCCAGCTCACTAACAGTCGTGGGAGACCCCCAGTTAACACCACCTAGCAGCACAACTCGTAACTACAAAGCATGCGTGCGCAACAGGTTGGTTCCGGTTATTTTTGGGTCACCCTTGTATAAAGAACAAGGGAATATCAATAAACTACAAAAACACAAACCAAATCGTAAATAAAAATAAACATAAGTAATAATTTTGAACTGATACAATGTTCATAACTACATCTAATCCTCACATTATTTTAACACAACATTTTTATACCAAATCTGACACTGCTTGAGTACTTACTTAGGCCCACACAGTACAGACATCTTGAACAGCCTAAGCAAATATTCAGCTTCACAATGAAAGGTTTAATGTAGTTAAAAATTTTGAGGTATTCTAAGTCATAATACAACAGAACATATTTTTACATAATAGCTCCATGATATGCTTACCATTTACTCCTTCCAGCTGACCATAGTAAAATTAAACATTACCTACCATTATTTGGATTATTCTTATGCATTAAAACTACAGCACAGCCTGGAACTTAACCACTTGTCAGATTACACAGTGTCATATCCCACAAACTCAGAACCTGAATCTTAACCTACAGTGTGTTTCCTCTATTAAAAAGTGATGTACGAGTATTAAGGTTACTTAAATTAACTGATCTGATTAAGTCAGGATAATGTGATTTTAAATAGTGTGGCAAAGAATTAAACCTTCTATCCAAATATTATTCTGTTCTGGACATCATTCATAATCAGAGTATGAGTATCAAGAAAGCAGTCACCGCCGTGAAAACCTCAAATCTTACCGAGTATCAGTAATTCAATTTCAGCATATGCAACCAGAAAATACTACTACTACCACAATCCAAGAAAATATTGGCTACTGCCTCAGTTACACTTAATCAGTCTTCTGCCAAAGTACTTGTAGAAAGGAAAAAATCAATCTCATTTATAAAATGATCTATAACATCATCAGTTCACTTACTTATTTCCATCAGAGCACGGCCGGATGACATACTGGCACATAGGTAACAGGAGGAATGCCAGAGCAACAGTGGCAATTACTGGTAAAAGAAGAAAGAAAAAAAAAAAACATTATTTATATGACAAAGGCTGCATTTACAGAGGAACAGCAAAACAGGCCCAACTCACATAAGGAAATGATGAACATGGCTACGGTAGTTTAAAACATTACAATGAATACCTGGGTTAACATTTTCTGAAATACGAGGAAATTATAATCATGGCTGGCCACTTACTAAAATATTTATTACAAAATAATTATTTACATATTAAGTCCACTATTTGGACAAAACGTTCCATTCCGTGGTCTTCTGTGTGGGTTATTTTACAACGCTCAGCGGCTGAACTATATAGAATCAAATGGTAAATGACAGATGATTTGGAAAGGATTTCATAGTGGTGGTATCCTAATCAAAGCACTAACCTGGTATGTGCCTACAGTGACAAGAACCATGCAAAGCCTGTGAGGATAACTGTTTTTCTAATATCTCCCAAATATGAGTCTAGAACACTACTGCTATGCTAACCAGTCCATTTTGTTATACCTCATCTTTTCATATTTACCACTGGCAAGAATTCTTTCACACTTTCCTTACAAATTCTCAGATGAAGTTATGATGCTTCCATCAAAAACATTTTGATCTGTTGGGACAGTATAATGGATCACATAAATTTATACGGCTAATCGTATTACTACTGAACAACTAACATGATCAATTTCAATGAGTGTGAACTCCCATTACCTAAGTTGTCAGACATAACATCAAAAAAGTTTTTTAACCCCCACCACCAATAAGCAAAGAAGCCACCACCGAACAGAGAAAACAGTCCATAGGTATATTTTAGGCATTGCTATTAAATTGTAATAAGAATCTGGGGTTGTCTTAAATTTCATTAAAAATATGCTTTTAAAGATCTGTCACCATATGAAATGGCATTACTGCCACACTCACTTCAGTGTGCAACTCATTTGGAATAACATGACGCCTGGGAATGTGTGAGAAGAGATGACTAATTCAGAACAGAAGGCCATAAATATCATCTACAAACTATATGGCATCACATTCCATAAAACCATAATCTGGAGTAATCAGAGAACTTCATGATTTGCTTCTGACCATAATTCCCAACCACTGAAATCAGACACTGCTTCAAAGTTTCATATCATAACAATGGTTACAATCTATATACCACATTCTACAATCATGGCAGTAAATGGTTCAGTAATTAGTGCTATCTGAACCCAAGATACCTTTTCCTTATTTCCATTTTTTTTTTGTGAAATAACCCATATTTGTACTCATTTTCAGATGCTAATTCCAAGTGAAGTGCCATAAGATGATGGAGTAGAAAACAGATGTATGGAAATTCAGACGGTCAGTTATCCGAACTTAAGATATGTCAAAATTTGTGAGAAGAAGACTGTCAACAGCTTTGTACAATGCCCCGATGAAAATCTGAGCTCAACAGTGCTAACTGTATGCTTCAAAGTGACAGTCACTGTGTGGTGATGGTAAAATGCATTGTATGTTACACTTCATTACCCCCTACTCACAAAAAAAAAACCTGCCCTATTTCCATTAGTTATCATCATAAAATTCCTCTCTTAGGACAGAAGAAGAAAAACAGAGAAGGAGAGGGAGAGAGAGAGAGAGAGAGAAAGACAGAAAGAAAGAAAAAAGGGCAAGAGAGTGCATTTGGTTATTACTGAGTCCCAAACTAGTCTGTAACAAACTGCAGACAGTTATGAAAACACATTCCAAGAAGATACTGGAGGTCACCAAAACACCACATGTTTAAAATCCCTGTCTTCAGTAGTACTGACTTCATCTTGGAAGCAACTCAATTGTCACAAAACATTGTAAGGTGGTAAGATCTAAGGTGTTCAGTCACCAAAACTTTCATTATAGGTATTTAAATTAAGTACTTATGATACTTGAAGAAAGCAGTCTTCTGGGATTTGGCACCGTGTATATGTGGTGTTAACCGAC